ACATCCACTTTTTACCTGTAAATCTCTCAAGCAAGGAAAACCCTTCAATGGTGAAGGTAAGAATCATGAACTTCTCTGTTCTTTGGGCCCTTTTTCAGTTAAATAAAAAGACAAACAGAGTAATCAGAAGATTTAACAGTTCTTTTAACATGTAGAGCTAAACTTCAGTTTGTTGGAGGACAGATTTAGTTCTTAAAAATGATTCTTTTCTAGAGGGTTTTGTCTTAGAGCCTCTTCTCTGTTTCCTCTGAACCTCAAACTGTGAACTGAGTTTTGACATTTTGAGGTTTAGGGTTTGACGAACGGTTATAACGTCGGGTTTTTGCAGTTTGAAAACGACGTGTTTCTACCGACGGATGAGCCTCACGGATCGATAGAAGCAACGTTAAGCCGTCTTACGTCGAAAATGTAAGGTAGGTAAGGCAGTTTGGTCTCCCTCCAGTGAGGAAGCAAAACAGAGCAAACTACTCCGTTTTTACATATTCTCCTGATCAATGCAACCTGCCGGCTTTTGTCTGAATGAGGCGGCCATTGTTAAGACGTTTTGGTGGCTCCGTGTTGTAATGTTGTGTCGAATTATATTATATTATATTATGTCAGTTTACAGTTTGATTATGTTTTGATTTAGTACTAATTATACAGACATTGGAGGGAAACCCAATCTTAGCTCATTTATATTTTTTTTTTCTCTTAAATTTCTGTTTTTTTAGTTAATAGTGGGGGATTGTGGGTTGAATAAATCTTCTACTAGAAATCTATTTTAAATTATGTATTTGGTGAACTTGTATAATAAACAAATAGCTACAAATAAAAATCTTCTCTTTTTTTTTTTTTTAATCTCTAAGAGTTATTCAACCCACAATCCCCACTATTAAAAGTCTACTTTTTTATATTTGAATAAACTAACTGATTCGTTTCGAGATGTAATGGCTCAACTCCCTCATAAAATTGTTTTCATCAAATAAAATTATAAAAATAATCATAAATTTTTTTTATATGCATATTTATTTCGTGTGTGACATTTGTAGGCGGACTAGTAACCATTTCCATTTCATTAAAGACTATATCTTACTAGAGGAATACGGAAAAGGAAGTGTATCTTTTACTGAATTATTTGATAGTTGGTTCGTGATCCATTAAAAAGATATATATATACACACATACACACCCAAATCGATTAAAACAATACAAAAGATGAAATCAGAGGCCGAGGAAACACAGATTTGAGACAATTTGCAGAAACAAAGAGGAGAATTTAAGGTAATGAAAGAAGATCATCAACCATCTCTGTTGAAAACTCTGCA